CACACACACACACACACACACACACGCAGCCCCCACCTCTCGTATCCTCGGGTGCCAGATATGATCCGTGTTCGGCAACTCCGTGCTGTTCAGCGTGGGAACGACTAAGGGGGTGAGGAGAGGAGACGTTCACTGCATGTATAACAGACATTCCAAAAGCAAAACTCTGCTTATAAACATCACCCTGCATCCGTCACGGAGAGCCTGGAAGCATATGGGACAAGGAAGACAGGGGAATGCCTTGAATGAGATTCAAGTCCGCTGCAGAGCGCGCACACACACATACACACGCACACACATACACACGCACACACACACACACACACACACACACACACACACACACACGCACACACACACGCACGCACACACGCACGCACACGTATAATTTAGAGATTCCGATTAGCCCGACTCCAGGTCTTTGTACAGATGTGAACCCCCATCCTACTCATGTCACCCAATGAGCTCTCGGAATACTTCAGACAACTTTATTAACCCAGTAAAAGAAAATGAACAAGAAGGACCCCATCATGGTAAACCAGCAAAAGTCTGTATATTACATTGAGATTTATGTGCATCTGACCTGTAGTGTTACACTTCCACTTCTCGAGGGACAGGATGGCGCGGGCAGGAGCCAGGAAGGCAAAGGCGCTGGCCTGGAACAGGGGCAGGCTGCAGGGAGGAAGGAGAGGCCATGAAGGCCCAGCAAAGGGGGCAGCAGAGACTCGCCGTACATTACTGTGGCGCTGAGAACCAGGTCAGTGATGCAGGTCTTCTCCGTTAGACTGCCGTTCCTCCCTCCTAACCTGGACTAAAGTTGTACTCCACCACTAAAGCTCACATCTCCTCTCTCCTCTCCTGTCCCATCTGCTCTGGTCACCACCTGCAGGTTGAACCTTGTTCAAGACATTGGTACTGGAGTAACAGGGAATGACTGCACTGCATCCACGAGATGGTCAAGAAGTTGCCCGATGGGCCAAAAGTCTGGAGCAGAGAGCAAATAAATGAAAATGAAGCCAAAAGAAATCCTCTGGACTGTCTGTTAGACGCTGGTACAAGTCACCAAAATGTCGACATACCGGATCTGACCACAGCACGCGCCTGGTGGTGACGCCACATGTCAGACTTCACCAGCAGGGGGAGGACAGGAAGGAGAGAAGGAACTTCAAACGGTGAGGGGGAGACGCCATAGAAGTGCAACAGAACCTTACTGCCACCTTACTGTGCCCAACTATTCACCCTATAAGAAATTATCAAGGGAGGATACTCAACGAGAGGGGGCGCCATTGGGATTAAAGGTGAGATCTCCCAACCTGAAGGGGAACCAGCAGAAACTAGGCTCTAAATTGGGGAACTAACCAAAGATATGCAGCTGTACAAAGAAATAAAAAACAAACAGACAAAAGTTCCTTAATAAAAAATAATTATTAAAACAGTGATGGTTAATTGGGGCTGAATTGTCTTGCATTTTAAATAAAACTTTCAAATGGAGCCAGCACCTTATTTGTTAGATATTTTCTGTTGAATGAAACAGGAGGATGCTGACCAAATGCCCCAGGATCAGGAGGTGGTCATGTGACAAAGTCAGGGAATCAGGGAAGTCAGGGGATCAGAAACGACTGATGTTATACGCCAGTCACACAAAGGGCCCAATGAATCACGCAAAGATCCACGGTGCCGCTGCTGCCCCTCGTCCAGAAAGCCTAAACAGCCCCTTTGCGTCAGGCTTCCTGGAACAAAGGGCAGCCAAGCACACCGGTCTGACTTCTCACAATGAGTCATCAGACACATACGCAGGGCCTCGTCCTGCCTCTGCGTCTCCCTGGAGACGGACGTCCTGTTCCAGAGGCGGTCGTGCAGATGTTGCACGCAAGGACAATTTAAAAGAGGAACGGTGGGTGACCCTGGAGACGAATCACTTCAAAGTGACTATTTCCGGACGAGACGAGGTCAGTACTGGCACCGTGACATCACTGGGAAATGCCGGAGGGTGGGGGGCCTGAATACCAGCTTTTCAGGGGTGGCACCGCCTGGTAAACAGCCCCCATCCCTCTGCATCTCGGCCTACTGATAAAGTTAATCCTGCTTGTTTCGGCACTCTGGTAAAGGAGCTTATCAATGCCTGGCAGAGCCCAAAACCCCACCCTCCCAGCGGGCATAAGGCTTATCACTCAAGCAGCATAATTATTCTTACGGAGTAAAAGCACCTCAGCCCAAAGCAAAACCAAGTGCCCACGACAGACCGTGTGTGGAGCCTTCAGGATTGAGAGAACGAACGAGCGCATGAGACTGACAGGCTGCTAGGACACACTATCAGAGAGGGAGAAAGGGCAGACCAGTGCAGCCAGAGACCAAACAAGGAAGTACCCAGAGATAAGTGGAAAAAGCACACGGTGTTTGTGGAAGGGGATCTGCGCGCTCAGGTCAGGACGCTGAGCTGATCACTTAGGGGCTGTGACTCACCACAGCATACTGGTGCCTCCTCATTGACTCAGCACGCTGGAGGGGTGGGTACCAGCAATGGGTACCAGGAGGACCAAGAGCCATTATGGTTTTGACTGGAACTATATGGAGACTAAAAGAGTAAAACCCGAACAAGACCCAAACACACACTCCCACAAAATGAGGAGAACCGCTTCTGTTAAAAGGCAAGGCTCTGTGGTCCTACTGGTTTTTAATGATCATTCTGTAATGGTATCGGTGATCCGATATTGCAGATGACGGAATACACTGGTTCTGATTCAGGGTGACTGTAATTAGACTTGACTGTTGACTCAGTCATTTTATTTAATCCCTTAAGGGATTTTCAGGAGACGTATTTAGCTAAGAAGTATTCTTACTTGTTGCAGAGTAACGTAAAATTTTATTATTTTATTTCATTCAGACTCTAGCCAGAGTAAACAATACGATACCTGATATAGGAACATTAAGTACGAATCCTTAAAGTCCGTCTTCCTGCATTTAGACTGAACTATGAAGAGCAAGACGTTAAATGGTAAGGCGGGGTGAAGCGTCTGGCCTTCCTACAGCAGTGCTGGCGGCTGCCAGTCCCAGATGGCTGGGGGCCAGAGACAGGGGCTGCGGGCTGAAGCTTTATTTACCGAGTCACACAGACAACAGAACAGCGGCCTTGGATGAGTCCTTCTGGAGAGGAAGAGGTGTGCAAATACAAAAAAAGATGGAACAGTGAGGGCCAAAAAAAAGGACCTTCTAAATGGAAGTTTAAGAATCACTCGAGAATTTCACATTGCTTAAGGGAGGGTGAACTACAGCCAGCGTGAAGGGAAGGATCCACTATGCAGACTTGGCCTAATCTTTGTAGTGAAATAAACCAGATTTGGAAACCGCTCCAGACTGACTTTATGCCCCCATATTCACTGTTGCTGGTGTCACTGAGAGCTGCTGCCTGGTCTTATCTGCCTGGGCAATGCCCTGTACCCACTTGCACAACCATTTTCCGGTGTGGATCTCTCAACAAACCACAGGCGCGGAAGTCACTCATGAACACGTCTGAAGGACATTTTTGGCCTGATCGGCGCCCGGTCCGACGGGAGCTCCTCGTACCGGCAGCCCAGCGTGGTCTGTAGCAGGGTGGTGATGCCCACGCAGAAGAAGATGGTGCCGATGAGCTGGCTGGTGGCCCACTGGTCGAAGCCGACGCACATGGCCTCAGCGAGCAGGAAGGGGACAGCGATGGTGCCGCTGAAGCAGGTCAGGTAGTGCTGCACGCGGGAAGAGGCGAGTAAGACGAGGCCCAGGACCCGGGGCCCGGGGCCCAAAAGGCCCTAAGCTGCAGCCGCGCGTCATCACCGACCCCAGCGTCTCTCTCCACGCTGCACTTTAACATTTCAAACCATGTTCCTGCCCATGTGAGGCCATTGGGTGTCGGGGAGGCGATCAGACACAGTGATGCACTTTACGAGATTACAGAAGGGAGATTAAGGTACAGACATGGGATAAGTGCAATAAGATAAACAGTGCAAATGAAGAGAGGAAAGAAAGCAAGGCTGGGTCAGAAGAAGGAGGGACATATAAAACAGGCAGCAGGTCGTAAGCTGCATCCTGATTTGTGCAATTTCACATTTTGCGTGTTTGTAGGCATCAACAACACTAACACAGGCACATGAACATGCAAAGATCTCCTCAGAGTCTTTTAGATAGAAAATCTATTAAATACCATCTACAAGTTCTAAAAGACATGAGAGTAGCTGTATATATGCTCTAGGGAGACCCTGGCATATTCCCCCACACAAACACACTTATGGATACACACTCATGTCTGCGGGGACGCATGTTCACCTGCAGCCCGAGGAAGACACAGAGGTACCAGGGTGGTTTGTCCTCGATGGTGTAGATCATGTCCATTCCCCTCGTCTCCATACTCCCTGCGCTGTCCACCGTCTCCGACAGCGAGCTCTGCGCACACACAGGAAAACAGCGAGCGCTGACTCTCGCCGTACTCGAAGGCCAGACCCCACAACCCTGAAAGCAGCAGCAGATCTTACCGACTCTCCCATGCGCTCAGAATATAAAACAATAAAGCAGAATACTTTGTGTTCTCTCCCAAAAATAGACCTTTTGAAGATGCGACAGCAAACGCACGCAAACTTCCTGCCCTTCTCAGTGTTCTTGTCTTGTCCTCTTGTCTGAAACCGGCCCTCTACGACCAGCACCGATTCTCTTTCACTCCCTTCCGTCAGAGACGGATGCGTAGAATGACCAGCAACAAGCGGACGGCTGGTGTTACTATCATTAATGGGAAGAAAGATCGATCAACTGACTCATAGCCTCGCTGCCCCGAATCGTGCGTTGCCAACATCAATGTGCGGAACGCTGCGTATAGATAATGTTCCCTGACCTCTGCGGCCTGAACAGTCACATTCACGCCCTCAATGAAGATGCTTACAGCACCAACCACTCATGATTGACAGGTCCATCTTTAATCCCCCTAAAATTTTGAGGGAATTTCCTCCTCCGGTTGGGAGACTATAAAGTCAACTCAGGAGCTCGTCAGCTTTTTTTTTTGTTTATTTTATTTTTTTGGTAAAAAGTAGCTCTGCAAAAAAGGTTGGACACCACAGCTACACAAGCAGCCTCTTCTGTAGACGAAAAGCTAGAAAAGCATCTAAAGCAGAAGGTCCCAGCAGCTGAATGCGATACTCTAGAGCTTAAAAAAAAAAAAAAACAACCTCATATTGCAGTGTAACAGTAAATGCCCCTGCAGGTTCAGAACCGTGTCGGGGACCCATGAGCAGAACATAGAGGCACCAGACGGCTTCCAGTCTGAGCGCTGAATGAGAGCAATTTAGGAAACGTGGCACCTTGATACTAAAGCAGTAGGTCAGCCTGCAGGTGACAGCAAATGCTGATGGTATCTCAGGCGAATGCTGACACACGATCATACACCAAAACTTAGACAGAAGGTAGAATACAATAAAGATGCAAGCGCCGTCATAGCTTTTGGGGGCCAGCTAAGCATTATGGGTCTTAAGCAGAACCCATGCGTGCGACTGTCAGGAAGATGGTGACAACACAAAAGAACCAAGCTCTACAATAACTGCTGGAATAAACAGCGAGCGGGAAATAGGCACTAAAGCGGATAAAAACAGGAATCCGCAGAGTAATTAAGAACGACTTTCATGTCTCCTGACCGCTGAACGTCAAAGCTCTGAGACGACTCTCTCACCTTCTCCCCACCTTCCATGTCCTTGCTGTAGATGGCCATGAGCTGCGTGTCCTCGGCATCCTGCTCTGACACGGCCTGGACGCCGTTTACCACCACCTGCGCGAGAAGTCAACACCTTTAACACACATGCGCACACACACAGTGCGATTTATCACACCTGACCTCACATACACATGTAACTATTTCATTTAGTACTATACTGAATTCTTTACTTTTGGCATTTTTAAGCGCTATGGTTTAGTACCGCACAGTGAGAGCTATGGCTTGGCACAACAATTTCCTTTTTCTTTGGATGCAGAAGCTTATATCCATACATCCATGGATACCAAACTTACCATGAATAAGGCAGAAAAGAAAAGCACTGAGCACTGATCACTGCTCAACCTTGGACAAAATGCTCTCCTCTCCTAAACGTTCAGTCATGCAAAGACCACACCTCCACAAACCCACAAAAACAATTACACACACGCACACTTTATATATAAACAGAGCAGCGAGGCGCACAGCGGCATACAAACACAGAGGAAAGTGTGTGTGGTGGGGGGGGGAAGGGGGGGGCTGGCTGCAGGCAGTGATCCCACAACAAGCAGGGTGAAATGGGTGTGTATGTGAGCGGCTGGGGGCCCGGCGACGGGCATATTGATGGGAAGCAGGGGCTGATGGAGATGAGAAGAGAGCCCAGACAGGAAGGGGAGTCGGGGGGTAGACCGTGGGGGGGGGGGGGGGGGCAGACCTGCCAGCAACAATGATTCAGCTAGAGCATAAGCAAATGAGAGCAGGAGGAAGCGTTGCGGGCGGGACACACAACATAAAGCGGAGACTGAGGAGGTTTTCCTGTGATGGAAATGCTGACCACAGACAGTGAAAGAGTGAGAGGCAGAGACAGACAGCCATAGATAGAGAGACAGAGAGACAGACACAGACCGTGAAAGACAGACAGGCAGAGATACAGACAGACAGGCAGAGATACAGACAGACAGGCAGAGATACACGCAGATACACACACGCAGACACACACACGCAGACACACACACGCAGACACACACACGCAGACACACACACGCAGACTCGCTCACAGGAATAGGGTAGAAGTTCGCAGTGCATCTGCTCTCCTCTTCGTACATGGCTCCCTCCGCCCCGGAATCCACGCCCTTGGAGGTGTTCTTCCCCACACCCATGCAGACGCCCCCCTCTTCACCAGCCTTCCTTCCCAAGCAGCTCTCGATCTCCAGCAGGCCGTTCACATGTCCCAGCCGCTGCTCACCAACATCATCTGCAGGGGAAGGAAAAAAAAACATCACATTAATTGATTAACTGCTTGGGGGGGGGGGGGTATCACTGCCATTCACCAACTTTACTGCAGCTCCATCTTAACTTCTGCTGCCCCCAGCTGATTTGGAGCATTAGGGTTTTAGAGGATGGCATCTTGCAGTTCGGGGACCAAGGGCTAAGCTCACAGCTCCTCGTGGGAGCCCAGCTGGCGAGAGGGAAGGACAGGGAAGCAGGAGGCCACTGCCTCAGTGCCTACAAGGGGGACCATCCCCGGAGGGGGCCGTACCCACATCACCAGGGACACGGTTTAGGTGAGAACACATGTGCCCAGATAATTATGCAAAAGAGGGGGTAATCAAGAGGCAGGTGTGCAAGGAGAGGCGGCAATTAGGGGAATAAGGAGAGGGGTGAGAGGATGGGCGCAGAGGGGCTGGGAATAGTGTAAGCCTGGGGGGGGGGGACGATAAAGACAAAGGCAACATAGAGGTCAAGCCCCTTCTGTTCTCCTGCTGCTAACACATATTAACTGGTGTTGACTGAACACCCGGGTTTCAGCTTCCCCCCTCCCCATTCACACCCTGCCCTGTCCTTGATGATGTAATGATGCACTGAACTAATACTAAATAACTATATCCTGCTTTTGGAGGGCTGAGGAGGGTCCAGAGTACAAACTACAGTGGTACCTCAGAACTCGAACTTAATCCGTTCAGAACTCCGGATCGAATCCTAAAAAGTTCGAGTTCTGATCGAATTTTCCCCATAAGAAATAATGGAAAACCAATTAATTGGTTT